AGAACGAGAGGAATCCTGCTGGCTCGGGAAGGGTCGGGATTTTGGGGGTCCCTCGGCACTGCCCGGGGCAGGAACACCCAGTGCAGGTGTGGGATGATGACAATTTTGGGCTCATATCTTCAAATGTTCTGGTTTTCACGCTCCCCTGAAGGGAGTTTCAAACAAACTTGTTGTTTGAAAATGGGAGCACCTGAAAAATACCTGTATTTTTATATTTTACGCCCCTGCAGAGTGTTCCTGGTCAGGAACTATTTGTCCATCTCATCGGGGTCTTAAAACTGTTTGTCAGGAGCCCAAATGAAAGACTCAGGGCTGGGCAGTGCAGGTGCAGGGTGTCTTGTTTTGAGGTGACATGGTTTTAAATTAAAGTCCTCCCAATATCCCTCTCTGCCCGTGGTTAATGGGTTACTGAGGCAAGTTGGCACTTGCAGCTCCTGCCCTGGGGTGCCCTGGCCTGGTCTCGTGACTGAATCAATCAGGGCCAAGGAATATTGACAGGCTGGAAAAGCACCAGGCTCTCCTCTCCCAGGAGCTTTTCCTTAAAGCTCCAGCTCCTGGAATCACCTGAATCCTGACTTTTCCTGACCAGAAAGCTGAATTTTGGTGGAGTAGAGCCACTTTTCTGAGTGAGCTCCAATGCTGTGAAAGCCAGATGCCCTTTTCAAGTCTTTGTTTCTTTACTTCCAGTCAGTGAGGGTTTTAATTGTATTTTAGGGTGGCCAGGGTGTGTTTGGTTTGGAGGGTGCAGCTGTTCATGGACGTGTGTTAGAATGGGATATTTGGAGATGCCAAGGTGAGCACAGATCCTCCAAAAATCAGCAGGGGGCCTGTGCTCCTAAATCACTTTGTCCCTGGAAGAATCCCGTGTTTAATGTGGATGTGGCTGCTCGGGGATCAAGTTGCCCTTGGGAGGTATTTTTTATTTCTTTAGTTTTGCCAGAGATGTTGCTTTAAATATTGTCCCCCCTCTAGGTTTTGTGAATGTGTCTGTGGCACTGCTGATAAGCTGCTCATAATTCATTTATTTTAGATTTATTTCAGTTCAGCTGAAGCCCCTTCCTAACCAGTTGATACCAGGGAGGATCCCCAGGGCCAGTGGCACCAGAACCTGGCACAGGTCAGAGTCACAGGTGAGTTTTGAGCTTTAACACTGTGTTTAGACCTGCCCTGAACTGGTTTTTGGGCATCACTTCAGGGGCCACATCCAGCTGGAGCCCTTGGTACCTGGTGACAGCAGCAATTCCCCCACCTGCCCTCTGCCTTGTTCTCCCTTTGAGGAATATTTGGGCTTCCCTGTCCAAGCCTTTTCCTGCTCCTCTTGTGACTGTGCTCACAAGGAAATCTTCAAAGGCTCAGTCCTATCAATTTTCCCCCACCATATGTTCTCATTAAAAAATTTATTGTGCACTTTATCTTAGGATTATTTGCCAGCAATTAATAAAACATGTTGCAAGCTTCAAATGAACATTCTCCCCTCCCCACTTCCCCTTAACGAGGGAAAGGACAGAGAAATATGAAAAAACTATCACCACGACAGATGGTGTTTTTTAACCTTTCTTTTGCCCAATCTGGGGAAAAAAAAAAGATGATTTTTCTCTGAATGTTGGCATGGGTTTCTAATTATGAGTTGCATCACTTAGAGGTCTAATGCAAAGCTTGGTGAGCTCAGCCAGCCTGAAATGTTGTCCTGTGTTGAGGTGGATGGTGCTGGCACAGAGGGGACGGGGGTTGTGGGGTGACCCTGTGGGTGGTGGGTCCCCCTTCTCCTCCAGGCACTGGGGTGAACAGGGAAAACTGCAGAGTCTGCTCTTGGAAGCAAATGTTTGGCAACTGCTGTGGCCAACAGCTCCCACAGGCACCCAAAATGTCCCATCGTCCTTGTCAGTGGCTGTCTGGTCTTTTAGGGAGCCTTGGAGGCTTGAAAAAGTGGCTTTTGGGTTTTTTTTGAAGAGTTCCCAAAAGGAGAGACCTCCCTGCTGTGCCCCTTCCCACAGGGAATATAATCCCTGGTTTAGAGGGAGGAAGGGAGGCATGGAGGAGCCCGATGATCCCCAGGCTGGTGGGTGCCATTCCCTGTCCTTTCCCCCTTGGCGAGCTCAGAATCGTGGCTTTGCCCTCCCGTTATTTGGAATTTTGGGCTGCCCAGGCTTGGTCTCCAGGGGAGGTGGGGCGGGAGGAAAAGCAAACAGAGCATCCCCCAGCAGCTCTGCAGGGCTGGGACACCGTGTACCCTGCGGAGCCTGCGCCTACCAGGGGGGAAATAAACACAGGAATAACGCACACAGACGGGTTTCTTACATAAACAGATGCCTGGGGAGAGACCTGGCTGTGGGCAACCCGCTGGGAAAGTCCTGCTCAGGTGGGAACTGTAGAGTTAAACACTCCAGCCTCGCTTGGATGTGTCTGGGCTTTGATTTATACTCCTGATTGGATGTTTGCCTGGCCCGATCAGAGAGCCCGGGCAGCGGTGCGTGTTGACACTCGGTGTTTAGCTCTGGGTGAAGTTTAAACAGGACTTATCGTGGCTCTGACACCTCGTGGAGGCTTCCCTGCCGTAATGATGTGCTCGGTGCCATCCCTCACACCCGGCCCTGCTGCCTGCCCGGCCCTCAGGCTCGCGGGGATTCGGGGAAAAAAGGAAACCTGCAAACCGAATTCGCGGAAAAGGCTCATTGGACACCTCTGCTAATTTTAAACCAACCCCGCTGCCCCCGTTCCGCCGCTCGCTGACGCGGCTGGAATATAAATCCCGGAGTGATCTCGGGTCAGCCAGGCCCTTCCAGCCCTTCAGGAGCTGTTCCCGTGTTGCTCCAGTTTGTCCCAGGAGCAGCTTTGGGATCTGCTGGGATTGGAACAGCCTCGTGTGGGAGGACAGACTTAGTTTTGGGGTCTGGCGTGCGGTGACACTGCGCTGGGTTGGGTCCAAATGGTATCTCTGCTTTAGGGCCAGCTCATGTTTTTTTTCACCCAATTCGCCCTCTTTTGCTTTTGATAGAAATTGCTCAAATTAGCACTGTCAGGTTTGTTCCCCCACGTTTCTCCCACCCATGGAAGGATGGAGGAACCTGGTCTGGATGCAGCTTTGGGGGCTCAGGTTGCTCTGTTTGCACCCTCCCATGCAAGCAGGAGGAGGGGATGGGGACAATATTTACCCCACTTATCCCAACTGCTGCCCACCAAATTTCCCACTCAAGGCCCACCAGAGAGGTGCATTGGAAATGGGATTTAACACCCCATTCCCAGCCTGACACGGGCGCTGGCCTTGAATAAAGCTCGTGCTAAATAACACTGAACTAATTTAATTTTATGCCTTGATTTTTATGAGTAACAATTAAGGGAAAAAACCCCCAGCAGAACGTAATTACTGCACCTTGAAGTCCCTGGGCCAAAGCCTGAGCTGAGGTTTCAATATGACAGCTTTTATCTGGCATCTGATAGGGGTGTTATTCATTGTATTAAAAGTTTGCCAAGAGAGGCTTCACTGAAAATTAACCCATGTTATCACAGTGAGTAATATCCTGGTTTTATCATGTGGAATAAATAAATAACGTAGACCTTAGGCCTTGGATTAATGAGGTTACACTGAGTGCAGGGTGAGGAAACAGTGTTAACACCACTGCAAGGGTTGGTGATTAAGGTGAGATGAAACTGGAACAGAAAGTTTTGTTGCATAACGACAGAGCTTGTATTACTATTAATTATATTATGCAACAGGAATAGGATGGAATTTGGCTCTATCTAGCAACAGACCTGGGTGAAAAACTCTTTGCAAACATCCTGGTGATTTCTCAGGAAAATTCCACTCGTGGCACTCCTGACACTGTTTCTTCACCTTGACCTGTTGTGGTGGTTTGGCTTCGAGCCACCCTGGTGAGACAACTCCTTTGGCTCCTGGGGAGCCCTTTCCCCTTGATCCCACTGGTGCTTCTCCCACCTGGGATCCCCATCCTGCTGCTCTGCACCGTGGGGCCAACGAATCCAGACTCCAGGAGAGGTGGAGTATTTGGGGAAACCCCAAACTCTGAATCAAGGGGTGTCTCACGTCGGGAATAAAAACAATTACATTGGAGAGCTTAGAAAAAGTGAGCAACCCACTTGTCCCTTTATGCTGGTGGATGTTAACAATCCCAGGAATACCCTTATCCTCTGGGCCATCATCATCCCTAATTCCTCCAGATGTGGCTTGGGTAGCTTTAATTGGGTCTGTGCCTTTTCTTTCAGCCCACAGGAATGCAGGTGAGCGGAGCCAAAGCAAGAAGAAGGGAAGAGAGAGGGAGGAGAAGAGAAAGGAAAAGCCATGGAGAGAAGGAAGGAGAAAAAAAAATAATCCTTGTCTGCCTGTGGTGGAATTTCTCTGGAGAAATGTGCAGGGCAGGGTGGGTAATGAAAGGAACAATGCTCAGGGAAGTGATGGAGCCCTGCCTGCTCTGCGTGCCCGAGGGGAGGGATCTGCCAGTGGCCTCCACGGGAAGGTGATGCTTGGGAGAACAATTGCTGGGCTGTTGTACCGTGCCTGGCTATGAATGGAGCCACAGAAAGGCTGTCCTTGGACTGTTGCTAAAGCCCAGCATCTTCTCCATCCCCTGCGTGCGCCGCTCGCTGCCGCTGCCTCCCGACACGGGCAACGGAGACACCAAGGGCATAAAAGGTGGGATCAGAGCCTGCTCCAGCCTCAGTCCCTGCTGGGCCATCAGCTGGCTCGCTGCTCATCCATCTCCACCCCGGCAGGGTGGGGCCCGGGGGGTCCCTGCTCTCTAGGAAGCTCTGGAATTGCTGAGAGCTGAGTCAAGGACCGAGGCAGGGCAGGGGCAGCTGGTTCTGAGCAGGGCTTTTGGGGAGCCTTGTTCTTCCAGCTGGGCCACGTGCTCCCCCCGAGCAGCTCAGGAGTTTGCTGGCCAGGCAGTGTGGGGGTGTTGGCCGGGCACCTTCCGGGGGGGGATTGCCCAGCTCCAGGCTGGGAATTCCCCCTACACCACCAGGGATGCACCAACATGCCATGACAGGAGGTTAGATGTCCATTCTCCAGAGGAGCCCTGGGATCCCCACCCAAGATGACGAGGATAATGATAGAATGGCTTCCCCCAGAGCCTGGGATGTGCAGGTATGTCTGTGCTCTGTGTGTGTGTGTGTCAGTACAGCACACGTGCCCTCCCTCTGCTCCTGGCCTGGCTGGGCCACCTTCAGCCCTGTAGAAAAGGGGAGAGAGCACAGGAGGGAGAAAACCCACTGGACTGCAGCCCCAATTCCCCCCTGTATTGCCTGAGGGATGAGGAATGGGCACAAAGCCTGAGGATAACCAGCCCAGAGCTCTCATTCAGCCCAGCCTTGCTGTCCCTGAGGCAGGTTGGACCCTGGCTGGCGTGTGGGGTCCTGCTGGCTCCTTGCCACTCTCTGTTGGCCTCCAACTCCAATGTTCTTCTTCTGTAGTGCATTTATTTGCCTTTTTTCCCCCAGTTGCAGACCAGGCAGGGCTGTGAGGGAGTCGGGGGAGTAGCTGAGCAGAGGGTTGGGTGGCTGGCTGGCAGTAGCCCGGGGCTGTCGTAAAAGGAACTGAAAGGGGAGTGTTAAGGCTTTAGCTGAGCTATGGAGAAATGGTTTTACTGTTGGAAAAGAAACTGCTGCAATAATATGTCTGGGAGGGTCTGGGAGCCCCTCCAGAGGCTCGGGAGCAAGTGCAGGCTGGAAGGAAACAGGAGCACTGGGGGTGTGGGTAGAGAGACACAGGACTGCAGGAACAGTCATTTCAGCTGGAACAGACCCTGCAGGGCTCCAGTCCCACCCTGCCAGAGCAGAGACACCCACACTGGGTTGCCTGGGGGATGTCCAGTGCAGGTCTGAGTATCTCTAAGGATGGAGATCCCCTCTGGGTCCCTGTCCCAGTGTCTGATCGCCCTGGTGGAGAAAATAATTTTGTAGAATCACAGGATGGTTTGGGTTGGAAGGGACCTTAAATCTCATCTCGTTCCACCCCACTGGAGCAAGCTGAGGATCAGCCTCTTCTCTCAGCCTCCAGTTGTGCCAGGGGAGGCTCAGGTTGGACATCAGGAGGAATTTCTTGCTGGAAAGGGTGGTCAGGCACTGGAAGGGGCTGCCCAGGGAGGTTTGGAGTCCCCACCCCTGGAGTGTCCAAGAAAGGACTAGATGTGGCACTCAGTGCTCTGGGCTGGGGGACAAGGTGGGATCAGTCCCAGGGTGGACTCCATGGGCTGGGAGGCCTTTTCCAAGCTGGATGATTCCAGGATTCTGTGTCTTTAGGAGAACACCTTCAGCCAGCCTGGTCCTCTGCTGACACGAGCCAGATTAACTCCCCTGGAGCCAAAAGCTCCTAGAACAACAACCTGCTGGGAATTAGGAATAAATGCAAATAGTGTTTGTTTGATTTGCTCCTCAGGTCTGGCCAGGAAACCTTCAAGTAGCAGCACTTTCCCTTTTAAGCAGGTAAGTGCTTTTTTAAAACATACCCGGGAGTGTCTGAGCTCCTCTGTGTGTGTGTGGCTGTAAATCTTCCTGAGCTCTTAACGAGCCACTCACTTGGGAACTCCATGAAATCCATGGCTGTGAGGAGCTGGAGAGGATGGTGGGACACCTACTCTGACCTGGAAAGGGGGAGAGAACCATGGGCATGTGGGGGGGGGGGGGATGGGGGGGAGAAGAGCGGGGCTGAAGGACACCTGGACAGGCAGCAGGTGATGGTTGGATCTCTGCTCCAGGCTGGGAGACTGGTGGGATGGTGCTGGAAGGTGGGGATGATGTTTGGTGGGGAATCTGAATGGGAAGAGATGTGAATGAGCAACTCAGCTGAGATTTTGGGCTTAAATATTTTTTTTTAAATTCTAATTTTTAAAATTTTAATTAGTTTTTTTTTTTTTAGTTTTAATGTTAATTTTTTTTAGTTTTAATGTTAGTTTTTTTTAGTTTTAATGTTCATTTTTTTCAACATTTTTCCATGAAAGACAGAAACTTTTCTAGGCCAGTGGGAAGTGTAACCCAACCTCCAGTTTTCTGTCCCAAACCAATTTGGACCAGCCATCCCAACAATCTAACAATCACGGGGGGGGAGGTTTGGTTTTTCCCCCTCCTTAGCAAAGAGCAGGCCAAGTATCATTTAAAAAAAAAAAAAATTCAAATCATCAATTAAAAAAAAATAAATCCCCAAACCCAGCAGCCTGTTGCCATCCATGGCTGGTGTATTTTTCCTTTGGAAGTTGGCCACCCCAAGCACACACAGGGCTCTGTGTGAGCCTCCCTCACCCTCCAAGAGGGAGCAGAGGAGGAAAACTCCCCGTGCCTGGGCTGGGCTGCGGGGCTGGGGGGGCAGCGTTTTTGAACCGAGTTCCTTTCTCTATTTTATTTAGATTAGGTTCTGCTCAGCGGGGTGATTTCTTAATTAGAGCAGCCCAGTGGTGCAGGGCCTGTCTCTGCAGACCCCTGCTCTGCCTTCTTAGGTTTCACGAGGGAAGTTGTCGTGCCTGATTTCCTGAGCTCCAGTGCCCGGGCGGTGTGCGGGGATTGCACCGGGAGGAAAAGACATGTAATTTAATCATCTTTATTAGATTTTGGGCCAAGGAAGGGGCAGAGCAGGAGGAACCGTGTCCTCTGCTTGTCTCTTGGCTTTCTCTTCTGCTTCTAGTGGCCAGAAATGAGATTTCACAGCAGAGGCAGCAGAAAACAGATGGTCCTAAAGGACTGTGAGGTGATGGATTTTTTGTCCTAATTGATGGAGTTTTCCTGAGCAGTTGCTGTTATCTCAGTCTCAGGCACATCCATGACCCTGCATGGATCCATCATGGGTTAGTTGATGACTGGCTGTGGTTAAAAATTCTGATCTTTAATCCATTTGGTTATGTGAAAGGGAATCTCGTCCCTCCAAAGGGAATCCTGTCCCTCCAAAGGGAATCCTGTCCCTCCAAAGGAGGAAAAGGGGTGAGAGGCTGGTGGAGACCAGTTCAAGCAGAGTAAATGGGGAAGCAAATTGTGGAATTTTGCAAATTGCAAGGGTTTTCTGGGAACCCAAGGAGGGCAGGCAGCCTCCACCTGGAGTGTGGCAACGTCACCCTGTCCCAGGCATGACTCTGCTCAGCTCCCACTTCCAGAGGGCAGGTGAGAGCTTTCCCCAGCCCCTCTGCACCAAGGGGAGAAAAGCTCTAAGGACAAAAATTGGTCCTTTTTTTTTTTTTTTTTAGACTATAGGTGATGAGGAAAAATCTACTTCATTGCATGGTAGTGGCTCAAAAGTTTAGTTATTCCTCTTACCCTTGCTGGGCAGAGCTGATGGGAATGCACTGAGGGGCACTGGGGGCTCTGAGTTTTGGTGGGCAGTGGATCAGGACATTTGCCCACATGCTCCTGTTGACTCTCTGCCTGCACTTACCCATCACATCCCCAGGTTTTATTTAATTTAAATCAGTGCTAATCCACTGATGCCAACAGAGCTGGGCTATTCAAGCCTTGCCTTCTGTATCCTACACGCTCAGCTGAGACTTCACAGCTTCAAACATATTAAACAAAGCTCAGTGGGGAGCAGGGGGGGCACCCTCACGTTTAATTCAAACGAAATCAAATTCTGGATTATTATTTTTTTTTTAATAAACCCATTTTATGGCTGGAACAAGGGCGAGAGAAGCAAATATTTGTTACCTGGAGACACCGTATTCTCTCCCTCCTCACCACATGGGTTGGAGTTATTATTTTTCTGGCTTGGCCCTGTGAAAGGCTCCCGTGGAGGATGGGAGAGGTTTATAAGTCAGTAATGGGCTTCTCGCCTCAAAGTGGTTCCAGTTGCTCCCCGGGATGGGCCGGGATGGTTTTGATTACGCCGTGAGGGGCTGAGAGCTGGTCACGGTTACACAGTCGTGGTGGGCACTGAGCAGGGCTGGGGAGCCCTGGGGGCAAACAGGGGGATGCTGAGCCCTGGAGGAGCTGACACACAGGTGGCTGGGGAGGAAAACTTCTCCTGTGCCATCCGAGTTCGGCAGGAACTTAAAAAAAAGCCCTTTTTTTGTTCCCCCGGGAGTCACTTTGCGCCTGGAGAAGGAACTCTGTGGCTGCAGCTGGGCTGTGTCAGGTCCGTGTGGCTGCAGGGGGGGTGTTCTGGGGGCTGCAGGGGGGGTGTTCTAGGGGCTGCAGGGTCCCACCCCTGGGGTTTGGCAGCTCTTTGCCTGCCTTTGCTGCCTCTCCCCACGAGCAGGTGCCCCGTGGGCAGCGCTGTGGTGGCGGGGGCGGCTCCCTCCTTCATCCTGCTGGTGACAGGGGGGGAAAAATCGGCTGGAAAACTTCCTCTCTGGGGACAGGGCTGTGAGTCAGTGTCACCTGTGGCCTTCTGGAGGTGCTGCACTGGGAGAGGCACTTGTCAGGTTTATGGAGAGTTGTAGGGCTGGGGGGAAGATCTTGTGGAAACGCTGAGTGGGATGTGTTTGTCCCAGGATGTATCCATGGTCCTTCTTCTCCTTTCTCGCTGGGGAGCAGGGATGATTTTGCACTGTGTGTTTCTTGAAAAGCCCACAATGCACCATCCCCAGGGGTGGGAAAGCAGCTGCAGGTGCCAGGGAAAACTGCTGCTGGTCCATCCTACCCGTGTGTTTGCATCACAGGGGGAACAAAAACCCCACTACTGCTGGCAAAGTAAGTTGCTCCAATTGTAAGTTGTGTTTTTGGGGGGGAAGCTGCAGCAGCTTGGAGTTTGGTTTCTGAGAGAGAGCCAGCAAGAAATTACAAATTAAAACCAGAAAGCCCTTTTCCCCCCTCCAACTCTTGATGTCTTGATTCAAGGTATGCATAACCATAATCACTGCTTGGAAGGGCAGCCCCCCTCCACCTCCCGGGGTCTCTGTTATCTCTAGAACCACCCTCTGGCTTTTGATTAGGAAAATGACACTGGAGAGAAACTCTATCTGCTGGGAGTGAGGCAGCTCCAAGCCCTCCTCCTCCTCCTCCCCGAGAGCCTGCGAGCTGCAGGGGTAGGGAAGGAAGAGGAGGGAGGGATGAAGGTCACCTTCCGCTGCCCCGGGAAGGGAACAAACCCCTGGCAAGGGCCCGGGTCGAGCTCTCCAGAGTCATTATCGCAACAGGCTGCGAAAGGTTAGGGAGGAAGGAGCTTTTCGGAAGTCTTTGCCCACTAATTGATTGTGAGGAGCGGAAGGAAGGATGGATCAAAAAAAAAAGAAAGAGCCCCCTCTGCCCTCCCCAGACGTGCCCGGCCAGGAGGCAGCAGGTTGGGGTTGGAACTGGAACAGAGCAGGAGGGAAATCGGATCCAACAGGAGCGGGGTCTCCTTTCAGTCTAACGGCAGATGTGGAAGGGCTTTTCCAGCATCATTAGGAAGGATGAAGTGCTCTGCAGGCTGGGCTGTGCCCTGTCCCTGCCCAGCCAGGCCTCCTGCCCCCCTCACCTGCACTGTGGCATCCCTGCTCCAACCCCCTGAGCTCCCTGATGGGAAAGGTACCCTTTTTTGCCCCACCACGGGCAGATGCTGCTCCCCATGTGATGCACAACTGCTCTGACAAACCCCCTTGGAGGAGGTGGGTGCTGTTCAGAGCAGGAGCAGGTGAGAGTTGTGCCCCCAGAGCCAGGAAAAAGCCCTGAAATGCCAGTTTGACTCGCCCTCAGCCCAAGCACAGACCCTTCACTGCAGGCACAGCACAGGGGTTGAGCCCAAACCAGCCCTGGCCATTAAAGACCCTCAGCCATGGGCTGGAATACGAGGGGATTGGGACAGAGCTTTTGTACAAATTCTCCTGCCCTGCAGCTCATCAGCCTGGGTGTTCCTGCAGAACCTGGAGACCAGGCCATGGACAAGGCCCCAGGATGTTTCCCAGGGAAGACCCCAGTGCCAGGTGCTCCACAGGGTCTGGGTTGCACGGACAGGGCAGAGGCTGGAGAGGAGGTTTCTCCTGGTTGAGGCTCAGAGGAGCTGCTCAGCTCCATGTGCTGGAGGGGCCTGGCTGGGAAGGAAGTCACTGCTGCAGTCGTGGCTTTCTGGCCCCGGGTGAGATGGTGCCCAGAAATGAAAGGCAGCTGCAGAATTTGCCTCCTCCCCAGACTGGATGAAACCAGAGCGCTTTAAGATGACACAGTGCAAGAATTAATCCACTCAGGTGTCACTGAAGGATTGTCTAAGCACGTTGAGGTACCTCCTGGAACAACACTGTGTCAGTATTTACACCAGGCAGCGTAATTTCAGGTTTCCTAATCAAGTCTTTGGAAAGAAAACAGACAACTCATGCCATTCTCTAAGTGCTACCTCTCCTTAACCTTTCAGTCTGGCTTCCAGATCCAGGAGAAAAGGCAGTGGAAGAGATGAGCTGCTCCCCTGGGGAGTGGCTTCTTCATCAATGCTAATGAGTGGTGCAATGCTAATCCTGGTGCGACCTCAGGCAGTAATTATCATTACTGTTATATTGGTAAGGAAGGGGAAAAAAAAAAACCAAATGATTTTTAGAGCTGCCCCAATCACCTGGATAAAATTGGGAACGCTCCCTGAGCGATCAGGAACAGACTGAGACTGGAAACCAGTTGCCTTGATGCCTTGCTCTAACCACCAGACGACCCACCCTGCATGAGCAAACGGAATAAAATTTGAAAGAAAACAAAAATCTGACTTGAAAAATGTGTTCCGCGTAGAACCAGAATGTTCAGCGGAGAAAAAAAGGATGCAGTCCAAAGTTTTACTTCCAGGCAAACATTTCAAAATGGACTTATAATGTACCCTTTCATTTAGATTTTATATGAAGGTTTTACTTGAACTTGTAATGAAGATGGAAAAATCCGAGGTTGCCATGGCTACTGGCACTTTGCCTAATACACTCAAATCTTTTTCCCCTAATAAAATAGATTTCAGAACCCCCCCCATAAAAAGGGAAAAGTTAAAGGCCCTATAAACAAACGTAGGATGAAGAATATTATTCCATGTAAAGCAGGTTCTGACCATCAGGGACAGGTAATTATGTTGATTCTTTTTTTCTCCTCACCAATTAGGCCCCCAGACCCTGAAGTCCAAGGTGGTTCTCCTGCTCATAACCAGGAAAATGCCAGGGGTAAGAAAATGGAGTGGTGGGGTGCCTGGGTCTCTTTTGGGGATGGAAATGCATCTGCCTTGTCCTGCAGGAGGAAACTTGGTTGGTTTGGGTGTCCTTGCAGCCTGCAGCTCCATCCCAGCCAGGATGGACCCTCTTGGGTGGGCATTTCCCTTGTTCTGGGGTCTGCTCAGCTCTCAGCCAGTAAAATTCGGGATAGCTCCGGGTGCCCGGGGCCGTGCAGGAGTTGTGCTGCTGGGATGATGCATTTTTGTCCTAAATCCAGGACTGGACTCGAGGTCTGGTTTGGTCACATGTGTGGCTTTGTGGTCGGGGTCTGGGCTGGGAGATGAGCTGCTCTGAGCCCTGGTGAACACCTGGGAATGGGGTGATCTGGGAGGTCCCTTCCAACCCAAACCATTCCATGATGATTCCATGAGGATAATGATATCACAGGCAGAAGGAAGCTTGGAATGGGGAGCAGCAGCAGCTTGTAGCCATCTCCTCCTGACAGTTTGCAGCTCCCTGGCTGAGCCAGGAAACTTGGATCTGGAGATGCTGCTCTTTGACTTTGGCTTCTTCTTCTTCCTGACATCCCTGTTTGTTGTTGGTGGGAGCAGGGAAGGCTCTGGTCATTCCCTTGTCCTGTCCAGGTGGTGTCTTGTTTTTCTGAGGAATTCAAGTCAGACTGGGGCTTTTGTAGCTTTTGTCCTTGCAGTTCCCCTGGAGATCCTGGTGGGAGCTGAGTTGATCCAGGCTGGGAGGAGGAAAGAGGTCGGGCTTTGAGGTCTTCTCAGAGGAGACTGAAATGTTGGGGATGGATGGACAGTGTGTGCACCCAGAGATCACAAGGGTGGCTCACAGATGGTTATGTGGGTAGGAGACAGCACAGGCCATGGAGGTGAATGATAAACCCCTTGGAATTGTCCTGGTCCTGTCCCTGGGAGTGATGGAGGGAACTGCTGATGTTCTTGTTCCCCTCAGGCTTTCGGGGGATCCTTTTAATGCAACAGCTCTTGGCTTTTCCAAGTGGTGGCCGTCTGCCAGCCCCATTTATTTCCAACATGTGGTTCTGATTTGAAAATGTCCAGATCTTGAAAACTTTAATCTTCTCACACCTAGGGATTTTTTGTTTTGTTTTGTTTTTGTGGAAGGCCGAACCACGTGCGCGGGGATAATGGTTAAAAAGCAATACAGGCAGCTCAAAAAAAAAAAAGAAAAAAGAAAAAAAGAAGAAGAAAGAGAAACTAAAATAATTTTAAAAATATCCAGCTGGCACTTTTCTAGTCTCAGAGATGCAGCACGGAGATCATTTCATCATAATCACTGATGAAACTCCTTGAACTCAGTGATGAAAAAGATCTTATAGATCCCACCAGCTGAAAAAAACCCGGAGTATTTGTAAGGCTGAGGCTGGTTGTGTTCCCATTAGTTCAAATCCAATCCTGTTCTGGCGTAAGACTGGAAGGACTGGGCCCGTGGCAGGGCAGGGCAGTTTTCCTCCTCACCCTGGGGTTTGGGAAGGTCACTCCATGTCCCCTGGCTCTGGCAGGGCAGTGCAGAGGAGCAGAGGTCGCTCAGCCCAGGGAAAGGGGACGGGGAAGGACTCTCACATGAATCACTGGGAACACTCCAAAGGAGGTCCCTCCCCTCCCAGTGCAGGAGGAGCAGCTCGGGATGAGCCCTGCTCCTCTGCCCAGAGAGTCCCCAGGACGTTTTGCATTAGGAGCCTGTGATGGAAATGAAGGTTGATGGAAATCAACCCTGACAGATTTAAAATATGCAAGGGGAAAAAGCCTTTTTATAGCAACCTACGGTGACCCCGCGGCTCCGAGGGGCTGCACACACCCAGGGCCTGCCCAGGACACTTGCTGCACACACAGGGGCTTTGCAGGCACCTCTTTCAGGCTTATTTAAGGTCTAAACACGTGATTAGAATTTTAGCTCTGCAGAAACACTCGCCGGTTGCCAACCTGCCCTGGAAGTGCCACCGCTGGCTGTGGCCAGAGCAGTGTCAGCAGCTCAGGGTGAGCTGGCCAAGCCCCTCCACAGGCTTTGTGCTTGTTCTTCGCGTGCTGCTGTAGCTCCTGCTGCAAAGTCTGGGCAGGGCAGAGTTTAATTCACAGCCTGTCTGATGGGTGGTGTCAACAACCACTGTGTGTTCACCACTCCACCATCCAGAAACATTCCTGGGGCCTCTGAGGAACATGGCACTGTCCCACCACTGCCTGCTTGGTATTGAGGTGCTGAGAGGGGATAAATCAGAATTAGGGGGTGGGTTGGGTTGGAAGGGACCCCAAAGATCACCCAGTTCCACCCCATGTCATGGGCAGGGACACTTTGCACTAGCCCGGGTTGCTCCAAGCCCCGTCCAACCTGGCCTTGGACACTTCCAGGGATCCAGGGGCAGCCACAGTTTCTCTGGGCAACCTGTGCCAGGGCCTGCCCACCCTCACAGGGGAGAATTTCTTCCCAATATCCCATCTAACCCTGCCCTCTGGCAGTGGGAAGCAATTCCCCTTAAGGTTGAGGTGCTGTTGCACCTTTGGAGGTGGACACAGGAGTCATGGAATCACGGAACAGTTTGGGTTAGAAGAGTCACACAGCCCATATAGTCCAACCCTCCTGCAATGAGCAGGGACATCTTCAGCTTGACCAGGTCACTCAGAGCCCCATCCAACATCTTCCTATCCACCTCCTGGGGACAGTGTCCAAGCAGGAATGGGGGTGGGAGAAAAGTACCTTGTTCCCCACGGGGGGGAACAGGGACAAGGCACTTTTCTCCCACCCATGTGGGCTGGGGCTGCTGCCTCAGCCTCCTGCCCATCCACTGTGGCTCTGCTTAGAGCAGAGGGGCTTTCAAATGTCTCCCTGTGCACTAAGAGTTAAGGGGACTGAGCAGCTCTGAAGATAAGAAACAGATGATAAAGGTTAGAGGAGGGATCGGTTTCCACCCTGCAGCCTGTAAATGCAGAGTAATTAGAATGCAGCCTCCAGTCCAGGAAAATGCAAAGAAAGGAACAGCAAAAGAATCCCCCTTTTCCTCCCCGGGAAAGAAGCTGAAGAGCCCCAAAGGCCTGAGAGTGTGGAATAACTCAGCTCTGCTACTCAGGGCTGGAAAATGCCCATCAGCCAAGGTGTGCTCCTGTAGGGCTGCACTGGGAGCACTGGGAGGTGGCTGGGGGATTTACCAACACACTTTGGGATTTACCCTGTTCCAGGTGGGCCTGGTGGCAGCTGATCCCCGGTGGAGTCAGAGCCAGCCCCTCGTGGTGCTGCTCTGCACGGCAGCACAGGGACAGGGGCCAAACAACCCCGCTGGGGTTTGGTGGGAGGTTTTAGGGCACCAGAGGAAGGAGTCTGGCCCAGCTCACCAGGGTCACTGCCACGGAAAAAGGAAGCACTTCCACGTGTGCAGGGCCAGGAGATGGATTTCCATGACTCTTCCAGCCTGGGATGTTCCATGATTCCCTGAGCTAGGCAGGTTTATGGCAGCTCACACCCACACAGGGACCTGCCGGGCTCTTGTCTTCCAAAGGCACGTCCCTAAAACTTTTGCTGACCTGGTACCTGTGGGGCTTTTTCTTTTTTTGCAGAAATGGTCTAAATGCTGTTATTTCTGGGCCTTTAACGCCACCTACCCTTAACCATTCCCCAGGAAAGGAGGGTCCCTCTCTGGTGACTCAGACTCCATGGATCAGCTGGGTGCGGATGTCTGACCAACAGCGAGTTTCATTTTCATTCGTTTGTTTTCATTTTCTTTCAAGCTTTATTTTTCTCTCCTCTGCAGTTCATTAGCATCTTCCCTTTCCTTGCTTGCTTTTTCCCCCCTTGCTTTCTTCTGGAACCCAGAAGTATTTCACTGTGGCTTGCCAAATGATTTCTATCTCAGTGAAAAAGAACTTGCTATTTCCTGAAAACCTACCACTGTTTTCTCTCTCTCTCTCTCTCTCTCTCTCTCTCTCTCTCTCTCTCTTTCTCTTTTCCCCCCCTCTCTAATACATTCTAAGCATTGAAACAAATCCAGGTAACTTGATAAGAAGTTAATGAAAAGAAATGAATTCTGGTTTGCAAAGGTGTGCTGGGGAGAAGGACAGCAGTGCTTGGGAGGGAAGGAGGGAATTGTCTCTGCCCAAAGGAGGTTGCAAAGGACATCTGGCTTGAAAACCCCCCGGTGCCAAATTTTGCAGGGGAGAAATGACAGAAGAAGAGGTTCTGTAGTTTTCCACTTGTGTGGTGGTTTTTTTGTTACTTCAGACATTGTTTGTGAGAAAGCTCTGGGGTGCCACAGTTGGGCCAACACAGTTCCCTGTGGTTTCAGTGCCGGCTGTTGGTGCCGGGGGTGGGGGGCTCCTGATGAACCCTGACCTCCCGTGGTGCTCTGAACACCCATCCCACCCTTCCTCCAGCCCAACCCACCCCAGCACCCCCTGATATCCCAGGGAGAGCCGTGTCCATGGCTAACCCCAATGAAAACCCCAATTTAACCACTGTTCTGTGGGCACTGGGGAGCTGAGCCCCCCCAGGAGTTGGGGATGAAACACCAACCCTCCTCTGGCTGCTTCTCCCAGAGCAAAGTGTCTCCAGGGCAGTGGAGATGTCACCACTTCCAGGGACATTTGTCCAACCTTCCCTAGTTCCTTTCCACTTTATGAACTGCACTGGAGCACGGTGGGCAAAAAGAAATCCAGATATTCCCCTTAACGACCCGATTCTTTTATTGGGCTGATTTTCAGCTGCATTTTACCTTTCAGCGCACGGGAAGTTTGGCTTTTGGGAAGTTTATTTCTTTCTGGTGCCTTCATTTCCGAGGGCTCTGCTGTTCTCCAGGGTCAGTTTCTGTTTGCTTTGGGACTGGGAGAGCTGAGCCTTTGAACCGAAGCGCTCGTGGGATTAGGAGCTCTGTTTGTTAGCTGGGTTTCTGCGTTGCATAACTCACAGATATCATCCAGCACATTCAAGAAAATGGATGATCTTTGGGTTTTTCTTCGCCCCCCTCCCCCTCTTTAGCCCTCCCCATC